TCTTTGACCTACCCTACTCTCCCCAGTAAAGGAGCCATTTGTACAACTGGAAGATGATTGTTTTTTGAAAATGTTGCCAATTTAATCCAAAAATCAATTGAATTTCACTGCAGTCAGAAAATTGTACATCCTCTTTGTATCTAAATCCTCAGAGCCTTAGGGGAAAAAGTCTTTGAAGTGGAATGTAAGAAGAATTTTAATGTTTTATGTAGAAAGACAGAATTTAGAGGGGAGGAGAAAGAAACAAGTGTGATGTGCTTTTTTTCACTTCAGTTGCTCTGGCACACAAACTCTGGTTTTTCTACTCACCCTTGTATCACCCCACTGGTTTCAGCAGCTCATGTCTTATGTTCTCCTCAGCTTTAAACATCTCTGCAAATTCAAAGAAACATTTCTAACTTTCTCTTTCTGGCTATGTTGTTGAATGAATAAGTGAATTGAGTAAGTAAAGACTGAGGTGATGCAGTGAAACAAGTTTGAGAGATCTGAAAGACTTCTGAATTTCAAAATATGCTTTGCGTGTTACTTGGGATTTTACCAGTAATTTTGCTGTTTACTCTGTGTAAATGCAAAACTGTTGAAGAAAATCTTGAAAAAGGAGGGAGTAGTGGTATGTTTAAAAATAAATTCAATGCATAGATATTGCTACTAAAGGTATTCTACAGTCTATTTTGCAAACAGGATTAATAACTTAATTTAATATTTCTTTACAGTGTTCATCTCATTTTACAGGGCCTGTAGATGTCCAGTTCTTTAATTACTCTGAAAGTCTATGACCTACATTTATATAAATTAATGTATTATGATTGCTAGCTAACAAGATTTTGTATTGTTCTAATCAAAACATTCACTTGGGTATAGATATCATACATGAGTTCTCTCCATTTTATTTTGGGAAGCTGCCATATTGTGAGTGACTAGGCAAAGAAAATGCATTTGATAGAAGAAGGAGAAATTAAGTAGCTTGTTACTCATTCCCTAGCTATGAGGCCATAGGTTTTTGTATATAGTAATGTACGTTTGATTTTTTTCCCCAAAAGTGCCATGTGTATAATGCCACTCTGTTATTCTCCACCAGGTATAGGCTGTTCATCTTTTAAATGGTTGCCTTTTAATAGTATTTATGTCCAGAATATGCTGTCAACTGCGTTCTCATACATTTTTTTATTAGTGAGCAAAAGACAAATACCTCAGGTGATCAAAGGGGTGTGTGCTCCCTGCTTTCACCGAGTCTCCAGACCCACTCAGCAAAAATTTTGAAGCAGCTGAGCAGTGCTTCATCATAATTGCATGCTCTCAATGCTCAGAATCACAGACACTGGTTGTAACTAGAGGAGCAGTTGTTTGGATGAGCTTTAGCAGCTGCAGCTGGGATTCAGACAGTTGCTAACAGGATGCTTTTGTCTCCTGTGCCTCTGGTCAGGGCTGAGGTGGCTCTCCTGAGCTCAGAGGCGATGCAGGACGTGTGCATGTGCTGCCCAAGCTCACACAAATGGTTCAGAGCAGAGAGAGCATAGGGCATGGCCTCAGAAATCTCCCTTTGTTTTGGGCAGTTTTGTGTTTGTCATTTCCTTCTCCCCCCAAAAAAAACCAACAGCTGCCTTATCTTCAGTCTCCAGGTGCTGCCACAGTGTCAGCAGTGGAGCACTTGAATTCCTACACAGTGCACTCCGAAGATGTGTAGATGTAAAATATCACCAGGCTGTCATGTATAAACTGCAGCATTGTGAGGCAGTGAATCCTGATAAATCATGAGTTTTTCAGAAAAATCTGCTTATTTTCTTCCATTGCACAGTGTTTATGATAATTGTCTTTTGTCTAAATATTTTCATTTTCAGTCAGTAATGTTACAGCTTTTGGTTTAGAAAGAAGAATTTCCTATTTTTGACTTGTCTTGAATAGGCTGGAAAAAAATTGGTGCTTTTATAATTTCTACATGAAGGGGGTTTTATTTTATGTTCTATTAGTTGTTTGTTTTTCCTCTGCAGTGCTTCGTCATCTGTCATCCCTCAATGCATACAGGATGATAAACTCCCTGTCCCTGTTAATGGCAGTCGAGAATGTTTTGCTTCTCTCAGGATTGGTGCCATATTACCAGGACAATGTATTGATTTGGGTGACTGCCAGTGTGTGATGCATGACAGAAATGAGAAATTGAACTTACTGAACGTGAAGTAAATCGTGCTGATGATGATGTATAAATGACTGAGGGAAAAGCAATCAATCAGATGCTCTCTGCTGGCAGCAGAGCTACATACAATTTAATATATAGTAAACCAACAGTTGTTTACAGTCTAAATCAAATAGTGTTCTGTGCTAAACTCATATTCTTGCAAAGATTACTTGGAACATTTTTGGGTTTAGTATGCTTTCCTTTCTGCTTTACCAACATGTGGTGTCTGATGATTCAGAAATATTGAACTGCCTCTATTAATTCTTGCTTTTTCTTGTCAAGACCTACAGATTTTTTTTCTAGACTGCTTATTACTACTTTAAATTGGTTGATCTTTAAGTAATTTTAACTTGTAAGTAGAGTTGTTTTGAGTCCCAGATACCTGCAGAAGGAGTTTATTGTAGCTACAGGTAATTGGACTTTTCTGTAAAACATGCACTAGAGACATGAATAGGCCCATTCTCTCTTTTGGCAGATGTTTTGCAGATATTAGACTTATATCAAATTATCTTTGGGTACTCTAGCAGTACACAAGAGCATTCATGTGCAGATGACTGTAATATTCTTTGCTTTCCTTCTCCGCACTCTGAAATGAATGGGATAATTTATTCTTTTTGGAAAGAGAAGTATTTTAATGAAAGCTTAAAGAGACTTCCTGAAATTCTCCTTATTGATAAGTCCTGTCATTCTGGGTCTGTCTCAGGTTATCATTTGCACAATGTAAGACCCTTCAGCAGCAGGGAATTCTGCTCAGTTCTCCCCAAAGCCAGTCAGAGCTGCAGAGTTTGGAATGCTCAGTGTGAACTTTGGGGTGGGAGTTTCCAAGGATTCCTCTCTCCTAAGAAGTTGTCAATGTTTTCTTCAGGATAAGGCTGTGAGAATCCAGGGAGGAGGTGAACCAAGAATTCCTGGTAGAGGAAAATGCTGAAGCATTTGGCAGTCAGCTGGAATGTAAATCCTGGGGATCTCTCGTGTGAACCCTGCTATGATTAGACAGTTCAAGACTAAACTGTTCATAGGCAGTTCAGCAAAAAAGTTCTTCCAATGGATATTCTAAAAAATACAACCAAATTAAAAGCCATTAGGGCTTTTTATAAACTTTTTTTCTCACATAGAAAAGTGTGGGTTTTCCCTGCTGAAACTTATTTTGGCATTTGGGGTTTTTTTTTTCAGAAATAAACTAAATAAAAATAAAATACTAATCAATCAGCTGTGAAGTTCAACAGTTTTGTTGCCTCAGAATTAAATATATTACCTTGATTAATCCAAGTTCAGTAAATGGTATTAGAACCTGGGACTTGCCATTGGAGGGCAGGGTTGATGTCAGATTATCAGCAAAACTTGACAATATCAGAAAGATACTCCCAAAACAGTAATACCAACCTTCCTAAACTCTCTAAGGGTGTTCTTTTATATTCTTCATAACATGAAGTGCAGTAAGTTGCTTTTACATCTCAATATCAGCCAAAGTAATTATTCATCTTTATTTTATTTGAGACTTTATTTTATTTTAGATTTTATTTTATTTCTCTCTCTGAAAGCCTAGAGAAAGTCTTGACAAATATGAAGTTGCTAGGCAGGGAAACATAGGTAAACTGTCTGCCTCTTTTCTGAAGACAGACTTGTGACCAGGAAAGTAAAAGAGTCACTTATACAACCTCTGGAATTGCTATCAACATACTATGGGAATGCATCTACCAAAATACTTCTAAAAATTGTGTGTATTAGATATATTTTTATAGTTATAGCGTTTTTACAGATTATTTGGTTCATGTCTTCAAACTTCTTTGCCTTCCGCTAATGCTGTACACCTGGATTCTACTTGGATTATCAAAAATTGATGATGCACAGGAACAATTTTACTGATTCTATGCATTATTCCTTGAAATTCAGTGGTATTTGAGCACTCTAAAATGGTATTTAGTGTTCAATTTTGTCCTTAGTCTGTGAATGAGGACGTAAAATCAAGGTGTTTTATATATTTATTATCTCAATTTGTAAAAAAGTCATTGTCATTATTCTGTGTTTTAGTTTCAATGACAAAAATCTTTAGATTAATGCATAATGAAACATTAATGAATATTGTATTTCCTGGTTTTGCAATAGATTTATTTCCGATGTCTCACGATCATTTCTGTACACCAACTCTGGAGCACGGAACTTGGCTCAGGTGCCATTTGGGAACCCAGATTCCTTTTCCATGGATATGTTTTATCACTGTGTGAACATGTGCTGTGTTCTGGGGTGTTTTGTTGGGTGGTGGGAATTTTATTTTTCTTTGGTTGATTTTCTTGTGGGTGTTTTTTTGCCACTGATGGGTGGTTGCATCTGCTATAGTTGCTTCCTTTGAGGCCTCCTACAAGCCTTACTGAATGTGCCTGTCTTTTACTGCCTTCAAGCCATTTTAGAAAAATAATTATGCTGTTTTACAATGAAAACTAAACATTGCCAGTGCTGGTGTTCCAGCTCAGGGACAGAAATTACAGCAAGCTTGTGCTGTTTTATCCAGCCTTGGGATCAGAAGTTACCTTAAGCTGATGTACAGTTGATATCTAGACATGGGATGTGTGCAGTCTTAAATTGGTTTTAAAGGTCTGTTTTGTTAATACATTCATGTAATGTATCTTTAAATAAAATTTAAAAAAGCCAACAAATATTAAAATGCACCTAGGATTGCCTTTTGAAGTTGTATTTGGAATGACCTGTGTCTGTATGTTTATAAATGGCTTAATTTTAGAAATATGTTTTATATGTTTTGAGTAAATGAACTGTTCCCCATGATGTCAGAAGAGATTTGTATCTCACTTGTTTATTTCTGTTTTTATAGATGGCTACACAACAGATGACATTGAGTTTTACTGGCGTGGGGGTGATAATGCAGTCACAGGAGTGACAAAGATCGAACTGCCACAGTTCTCCATTGTGGACTACAAGCTTATCACCAAGAATGTTGTTTTCTCTACAGGTTTGTGGAGGGGAACTTAAAACGGGAATTATTTTAAACACTTTTAAAACTGGATTAATTCTCAGTGTGCAGTTGAGGAACAAAACTTTTAGAAACAGGAATAAAATGGAGCAGCAGCTGTGAATTTGTAAAGCAGAGCTTCCATAGTGTATAGGGCACCATTCATTAACATCTGTAATCTGGCATATTCAGGGTCATCAAAGGAGCCGTATTTTCTGTTTACCTATGAAAACTGATAAAGCTACTTATACACCTCTGTGCCATAAAACCAACCCCACATGTAGGATATTTAGGAAACTTTTCTCTGTTTTTTTAGTGTTCCTTTTGCTAAGTTGGAGATGTATTAGACTAATTATTTTGTCTTCAACATAAAATCTTTAAAATGCTTGTTCCAGGATTTCCAGTTTAGCCTGTTCTAGCAAGTGCATGACTTTCTTGAGGCTGAAAAGATGCTTTGTGAGAAGGAGCAGAAAATCAGATTGCATTTCATGAGATAAAAAAATTAAAAAAAAAAAAAAACAACATATTTCAATATGTTAATTAATAAAATTAAAATTCAATATGTTAATTAATTAAATTGTCCAAGAGAGGCAAGAGTTGGATTGGACTGTTACTAGGAGATGTTTTCTACCTACTTGAGAAACCCATTAGGTGTGTTAAAAAAATTATCTTCAAAACTCAGTGTCCAGATATGGGTAGAAATCATCTTTGGAATGACTACAAAATGATGTACATCCCAAATTCTTCAAAATCAAGCAGAAATGGTACTTGAAGAATGATTTCTAGACACCCATATTAACAAATGTTACATATAAAAAATGCTACAATATTTCTGGTGTCCAGTGGCAAAAGAGGAGTGTTGCATTTCTTGGACACAAGTTTAGGATCAGGGTCATACTGAAGCTGGCATATGACAGTTTGTCAGGGAAGAGGAATTTCTGTGCTTTGTTGCTCTGATGTGTATTTTGGCTTTTGATTGTTGAATGTTATGATTACCAGCAGATAAGCAACTAGAGCATCTTTGTGCCCTTAGCATAAAAGATTATTTAATCCCAATTCTTGCTAGAAATTCTGCCCCTGAATATCCTGGATCTTTCAGCTCTGAGTGTACTCTGCGTTGAATGAAAAAACAAAACAAAAATGACAGAAAAGAAAAATGTTTTCAGGCATTATACAAATAAATTATGGCCATACCAAATATTCTCTTTTAGGTGCCTACCCAAGGCTGTCTCTCAGCTTTAAACTTAAGAGAAACATTGGTTACTTCATTCTGCAGACCTACATGCCTTCTATTCTGATCACTATCCTGTCCTGGGTTTCCTTCTGGATTAATTATGATGCTTCAGCTGCAAGAGTTGCTTTAGGTAGGCATTTTTACACATCTCATGCAGTGTGCATTAGCTGAATGGTTTTTCTATCTTCTGGCTGAGTGGATAGTGCATGATTTGAAAATAAAACTATATGTCTTAGATATTTTTATGTCTGGCTTGTTAAGCTTTGTATTATTTGCATCAGCATTTAAAACATCAGAATTTAAATAAAAATTAAAGTGATTTCATGTCTGAATCAGCTAACTTTATAATCATTGTAATCAAAATTAACCTAATTGTCTCAACATATTCTATTGTTCTTTTCTCTGAAAAGAATGCACTTAGTTTGCTTTTGCCCATAGCAGTCCAGAACACACGTTCAGCATTGTGTTATAGATTATAAATTGCTTTTCCTTTCAGGAATTAAATAAAGTTTTACTAGGTTTGTACAGCTCACTTGTCCTTATGTTGAGGGAGCAGGCTGTGCCTCAAATCCAGTTCCTGGCTCCTCGCTTGGAAGACAGACATGGAGGGGCTGGGATGTGCCAGAGAAGGGCAGCAGAGCTGGGGAAGGGTCTGGAGCACAGGACTGAGGAGGAGCAGCTGGGGGAGCTCAGCCTGGAGAAAAGGAGGCTCAGGGGGGACCTTCTCAGCCCTAAAACTCCCTGGGAGGAGGGTGCAGCCAGCTGGGGGTGGTCTCTTCTACCAAGTGAAAGGACAAGAGGAAATGGCCTCAAGTTATGCCAGGGGAGGTTTAGATTAGATTCTAGGAGAAATTGCTTTACCAAAAAGGTTTCCAGCCTTGGTAGAGGCTGTTCTGGGAAGTGGTGGAGTTACCATCCATGAAGGGATTTAAAAGATTTGAAGACTTGGTGCCTGAGGACATTGTTTAGTGGTGGATGTGGCAGTGCTGAGTTAAAGGTTGCATTCAATGTACTTAAAGGTCTTTTTCAACCTAAATTATTGTAAGAATCTGACTATATTTTTTCCTTGCTGTTACCTTACGTTCCAAAAGCAAAACTGTTTCCCTAATTAATCTCTAGAGTATTTGTACATCTCATCACTAGTCCTATGTGTATCTGTTTATTCTGTGCCCCTCATCATAATTCCAAAAATAAGTATATCTATTGCCAAATTTTGTCAAAATCAGACTGATTCCTGCCAGTACAGCTCTTGTATAGCTAAAATAAGTAAAACCCCATAAAAATTGCCATTGAAAATTTGGCATTTTAATGTTATAAAATACATCCGAGTTTTACCAGATCTTTTTATGTAGCATTTTTCCTTAAGAATTTCAGACTGCAGACATTCTGAAAATGCTGGAGAAAAGCAAGATAAAGCAACTGTAGCCTGTATTTTTTAACTGAGATTCATTACAGAAGGTTGCAGTTTATCTAGTTAAAAATATACTTATGGAATCCAACTAATGTTTGCTTGACTGAACTCACTTTATTACAGGCGTAGTGTTTTTTATGCTATGCAAAAAATCCATGTCCAATATAAGGACTGAACAAGATGTTCCTGAAAAAATTCAAACACAAAAAGGAAACGTACAGAGTGTGGTGGCAAGGTCAGGTAGCCTGTGAGAAATAACTAAAAAAAAATCTGAGCAGCCAAGGATCAGGTTAGGTAAGCTAAAGCCCTAAGACAGAACTAAATCTGTCCAGGGACATCAAAGGCAACAAGAAAAGCTTCTGTATAGGTTCATCGGTGCTAAAAGACGATAAGGGAACATGGGAGTCCTCTCTGAAAGGAAACAGGAGGCCTGGATTGCCAGGATCTGGAGAAGACTGAGGTACTGAACACCTTTTTAATGCCTTGCTCTCATGGACACGTGCTCCAGACACATTGCCCAAGCTGCAGAAGGCAAAGGCTGGGACTGGGAGAATGAAGAACCACCTGCTGAAGGGATCTTGTTGGAGACCATCTAAGGAACATGGGGATCCCAAGCACTAAGTCCATGGGACCTGATGAGATCCATCCACAGAGCCTGAGGGAACTGGGAAATGAATTGGCTAAAATTCTATCCATGATACTTGAGAAGCCATGGCAGTCTGGTGAAGTTTCACTGACTGGAAAAGTAGAAGCAAAGCCTCCTTTTTAAGAGGGGGGAAAAAAGAAGACTTGGGGAACTACAGAACTGTCAGTCTCACATTGGTGCCTGTCAAGGTCATGGAGTAGATCTTCCTGGAAGCTATGCTATGGCACATGGAAACCAAGGAGGTGATTGATGAGAGCCAGCCTGGCTTCACTAAGGGCAAGTTGTGCATGACAGAGTCTGTGGCCATCTACAGCAGGTCCCAGCTGGTGGAATGAAGGAAGAGCAACTGATGTCATCTACCTGGGCTTGTGCAAAGCATCTGACACTGTTATGCGTGAGATCCTTCTCTCTAAACTGAAGAGTCATGGATTTTTTTTGGATGGACCACTCAATGGATAAGGAATTGGCAGAATGGTTGCACCTAAATAGTTGCAGTCAACAGTTTGATGTCCAAGTGGAGACCAGTGACAAGTGTCCTCAGGGGTCTGTACCCTCAGGGGTCAAACCTCTCTGGGATTGGTGTTGCTTAACATCTTGGTCAGCAACGTGGACAATGGGATTGAGGGCATCCTCAGCAAGTTCCTGAGCTGTGTGGTGCTGTCCACGTGCTGGAGAGAAGAGATGCCATCCAGAGGGGCCTTAACAAGCTGGAGAAATGTCACAAAGATAACTGTGTGACTGGAGCACCACTCTCTATGAAGACAGGGAGCTGGAATTGTTCAGCCTGGAGCACAGAAGGTGCCAGGGAGACCTTAGAGCACATTTGGGAGCCTAAAAGGTGTCCAAGAGAGCTGGAGAGGGACAAAGGGGAATGCCTTTAAACTGACAGCTGAGGACTGAGGATTTAGATTAGATCTTGGGAACAAATGCTTCACTGTGAGTGCAGTGAGACAGTGGATCATGTTGCCTGGAGCTGGGGCATCCCTGTTCCTGGAAACATTCAAGGCCAGGGTGGATGGGGTTATGAGCAACCTCATTGCTCATAGTGGAAGGATCCCTGCCCATGGTACTAGATGGTTTTGAAGATCCCTTCCAACCCAAACCTTTCCAGGATTCTATTATTATGAAAGGAGGTTAGAGATATCTTTTCCCCACCAGGGTGAAAAAAAATATTTTTCAACTTCAGCATTTGAATAGTATAAATTATTACTCTAGAAAATAAATCAGAATTATTTCAATCACTAGACTTTTCAATTCTTTTTCCAGGAATCACAACTGTGCTCACAATGACAACAATTAACACCCATCTTCGAGAGACTCTTCCCAAAATTCCATATGTGAAAGCCATTGATATGTACCTTATGGGATGTTTTGTCTTCGTTTTCATGGCTCTGCTGGAGTATGCATTGGTCAACTACATCTTCTTTGGCAGGGGACCTCAGCGTCAAAAGAAAGCAGCAGAAAAAGCTGCCAGTGCCAACAATGAGAAGTTGCGAATGGATGTCAATAAGGTAAACTGTAACAGGGATAAATTTTTAGCATTTTCCCAGGAAGACAGGTTCTCATTTCTGTCAGACAGTGCTTTAAAATGTGATTTCTTGTAGAAAATGAGTGGAGTGGAATTATGATGACCTTGTCTTAGCTCTGCAGAGCAGTGTACTTAGCTACCTCAGCAATGAGTGCTGCCCTCCAGCCTGGAAAGCTGAATGACTTGCTTCTAAAGCATGCAGTCAGTGAAGCTTTACTGAGAGATCTTTTCTTAGTCAGAATGTAGACTTGAATATGTACAACCTGTTTCCAGAGGAATAAATCCAAAATGATGGCTGTATATTCTAGGAAGAGCTGTATGGAACATTGGAACTAAATTCTAAATTTAACTTGCTTTCATAAATCTTTCAGATGAGCTGGATAACAAATATTTGCCACAGAAGTGTTTAAAGTTTGAGAAGTTTGCATATTTTCAATGTCTAATGGGCCAGGATACTATTGACTAAATGAGGAACTTCTCAGAAATAAACCATCAATGTGCTGTGTACTTAATTTTGAATTTAAAGTGGCCCCCTAGGGATGGAGAATTGAGGCAGAAAAGGTATTTGCCAAGATACACACTTCTGGGAAAAGTATCCATTATGCTTAATGAAAATGAGGCACTTATCATAAAGCACTTGTAATTTATCACTTTGACCATTTTGGGATGAATTTCACACAGTGGCAAATCTGTGCTGAAAGCAAAAATGTTCTAAAATGTATAAACTTTCACACACATGCAGAATTGGAAAGTTAAATAAGGTTGAATTATCTTTGGGGGTTTTTTGGAGGGGGTGAGAGGGTTGTGGGATTTTTTTTTTTCAGGGGAAGGAAGCTCTTTGACAATCCAAGGAGAAAAAAATCAAAGTCAAAATCTTAAAAAAAAAAAAAAAAATCATTAGAAAAAAACCTCTACACACAAAGTGGGTCTGCAGATAGAAGAACTTTTTATTCCAAAAAGAAAATAGTTTTATAGGTTATAATTTATAGTCTTTTAAGAAGGAGAGTTCTATCACCATGGTTCAGATCTCATTCTTTTTTTTTTCTTTTTGATTAGAGTGGAATATATTTTAATGAATGAAAGCATAATCATAATGATGAGTTTAATGTTGATGTTATATTACCATATATCATCTTTTAGCATTATAAAGTTCATGAAGACACTGTAACATGTTTTTATATCTATTGGTGATTTTTCAGCAATGAAAAAAATCTGTGAGGTTTATTTAAATTGTTAAGGGTTTTTTTTTCTTCTTTAAATTTAACTTTAAAAAATGCTGTATACTACCCTGTAAGTAATTTTATAAGACTACATCTGAATTTACCTGAAATCTTTCCTCTAACATCAATGGAAATTTAAAATCCATAGCTGAGGTATATTTTTGTACACTTTGCTTCACTTGTGGTGTTTTCAACATTCTTGTTCATACAATAGACCTTTCAGCTGTGTAACAGAATAGCCAAAGCCCAGTGGCAAATTGCTGATCATGAAGCAGAATTTGAAAGCACTAACTGTTGTGTTAATCCAATCCATTAGGTAGAGTAAATTAATTTCAATAACTGTTGAAGAACTTTACCAGCTTACAGGATTGACACAAGATATACTGTGGAACACAAGGAACAATTTTACATTATTTTTATTTTTTTCATAGTGAGCCTTTCAGTTAATGTTCTAGGCCAGCATGGTTAACAGTCTATGGCAGTTCTGCTCTGGTATCCAGATCCACTCTGATCTGGTAATCATGTTTGCAATCCTTTGAGCAATAGTAGGGAATCAAATAGGAGAGGATCAGAGAACTTGTCCTACTGCACAGACTGCTCTGGGGAGAAGGAAAGGAGCTGACAGCTGTTCTTGTTGTTTGACCAGCAGCAAGAAAACATATTAATATTTAATGGACCTGAATATTTTATCTATTAAAGGGAGAAAAATATTATGTAATTATTTTCATTTATAAGGATCAAAAAGGGGTCTGAACTGCTGAAATTAGTTCAAAAACAATTTTTCATAAAAACTAACATATTTTAGAAATGGGATCACACAAACAGTTCATCATTAACTAGCCTCCAATAGTGAAGGACTGATTTTACAAGGTATGAGTGTTCTTTTGTGATATTACAAGATTCCTCTTGAACCACTATGTGCAATATTATGAATTCATAAGACTCAGATACTACACAAGAGAAGATTGATACCATGAGGAATAAACCTCAAAATATAAGGATGAAAACTTCTACACAAAACTTCTGTTGCTGCATTCAGCATTGACACTCTGAAAGATGTGGATAAATAGTTATTGGAGCTGCTGTTTGCAGCACAGCATCTTTGCTTATACTTTATAGACCAGCAAATCTGTAATGGTTTTCTTGCAATTCCAACACTCTTGTTTGGTAACAATTTCATAAAACTTTCAATCAACAGAATGTGGTGAGAAGGGAAGTGCTGACTAGTCCTCTCATCCACAACTGATTGCAAAATCAAAGGAGAAGTTAATTCATGCTCCCTTTATGCTGTTGAATTCTCTTCCATGGACAGATTCCAGTGTGGACACAGGCACTGGTAATCTCTCTGTTTTTGCTTGGTGTTGTTCAGAAGATACTAGGGAGCCTAAAACACAGTGTGCAATGGAAGCTTTTTTTTCCAAGACTGTAGTGTCTGCTGAATCCATTGCAATCTCTCGGAGATTTGGTGACTCAGGTGTCCTCTTTTTCCATTTGAGTGAACTCCATAAGGCTGGCTGCAGAGCTTCCCCAGGGCTATTCCAGATGAAACTGTGACCAAATCTTTCTTTAAATTTCACAATATATTCATATCATATGCAAAATCTGATAGTTTGGGGTTTGTTCTGTCTTTTTTTTTTAAATCATTGAATAGTTTGAGTCGGAAGAGACCTTTAAAGGTCACCTACTCCAAGCTCATTTTAATGAGCAGGGCCATCTTCAGCTAGATCATGTTGCTCAGGGCATCATCCAATGTGACCTTGGATCCCTGTTTTCAGGGAGGGGGCATCCACCACCTCTCTGAGCAACCTCTTCCACTGTTTCACCACTCTCATTTGAAAAAAAAGTTCTTCCATATATCTAGTCTGAATCCTCACATAAGATATACTCCCTTTTCAAAGACTGTTGATCCTGTTTCTGGTAATGGAAAGGTAGGGAAGGAATTGGGCCTATATCTTCATTTGCTTCTTGGGTACTGAAACCTGAGTTATAAAATCATGTAGAAATTTAAAAAACATAAAATTCAGGCAGATTCAGGCTCAGTTACCAGCAGATACATTGCCACAGACTTGTTAAATCATATAGGACTTGCTTGATTTTCTTTGCAGTGAGTTCAGATAAAAATGGCTCAGACAATCATCATTTCACTCTTGAAACTTCTCAAGCTGCATTTAGCAGTTAGTTCCTTTAGTCCAACTCATCATCTTTTGCCTTGCCAAGACTAGTTGTTCTTTCTATAAACAATCACATTGCTGCTATGGGTAAATCACTGCCTTTCTTCTTACTCTAGACATCATTTAATTTATTTGAGACAGCATTCACATAATTTCCTCACCTCTCTTTTCAAGTTTTTCATCTTTTGTCTCCAATGCCTTTCTTGCCTTGGTTGTCTCAAGTTTCTCATTTTCTTCTGTTCTGATTGGCATAGTATTGCAAGTGTACATAAGGATAGGTACACTGAGAGTGTCCTATGTCTGCTTGAGGCTTGTCATAAAGTGTGGTATATATATGGTAAGCCATTGTTATGTCTTTTTATTCTGTGAGCTTTTGTATTTAAGAATGCTGATGGTCATCAGTGTCCTTTTGGTCCTTTGCATTTCATCAGTCTTTATGCTAATATTGTCTGTGCTTCTTCAAAATGATTAAGATATATTAAAATACAGGGCCAGATTCCAGCCTCTGACTTCCCAATAAGATGCACCTGTCTTCCTGTGGGTAATTGTACATGCATCTGGAACACATTATCCCTTCTATTTTAAGATAATGTACCAAAGGCTTTACTGAAATCCATAAATCACCTCCTTATACAAATGATCTAGAAAGATTTGGTCTAGAAACCTCTGTGACCCTGTTTTTCTTTTAATTGTAATTTTTTTTTCTTGTTTCCTTGTGAGGTGGAAGGGGGCTAGGGGAGGGAAACAAGGTACTGTCATAAAACTCTTCAGGTTTTCTCCCTGTGAAGTTTGGCTTTGCCTCCAAGACGATGATTCACCTAACCACAATTCCAGTGCAGAGCCTGGTTCAGCTGCAGTGATTTCTTAGGCAGATCCCCAGCCATTTTAATAAGTTTCATTTCTGTTATAACAGCTCAGATAATTAGTTTCCTAGTGCTCTCTCAGAGCTGACTTATTCCCCTTACATTTTTTTCCAGAATCTAGGAGCCAAGTTATTTTTGGTTAATTTTTAAATGTACTACTAATTTGTTGTTTCTAATAATTTTACCTTGGATGTTTCCATCTTGGAACTCTGATTTAGATGGGTTTGCTGATGCTGACCATTGTGATGAGTCTGATATATCTTGTAGACATTTGCAAGGTGTACAACATTTGTTGATCACCTGCCAAGTTCTATATTTTCCATATGTTTTCCTGTGTTACTAAATTTCCTGTCAGCCAGCTGCATAACCTGCTGATTTGTCTATTGGACTCTACTGCTGTTTTTTCTACAATTGCTCATCTGATTCATTTGATCCAAACTACTATGTGCATTAATTGACTACTCTTGAGGCATAAGTAGGGTGAAAATGCTTTTCAATATCAATATCAATTAAATCTATATTTGTTATTCTGGATAGATCAGAAAACTTCTGTTAGAGTGGTAAAACCAGGACTGTCACTTTAAAGACCATGGTAAATGAAAGGCTGACTCCTTCCTCTGTAAAGTGCTTCTTGCCATCTGTATGTTTGACAAGAGGTGATTCCCATGGAAAAGCAGCTCTGTGCCATCCTCTTCCACAGCATCAGAGGCAGCAGAGATGATACTCACT